GTGAAACAGAGAAAAACAAAAAAAAACGGTAAAAAAACAAAACAAATACCTAAAACAAATACGACCCCTTTGCTTAGTTTATAAAGGCTGCCTTGCAGTGGTGACAACTTGACTTCCAGCCAGTCCTTTGTGGGGCGGGCACCTCGGTGTTCAAACAACAAGGACTTTGCTCGTTGTGTACAGGCGTCTGTGCTCAGTGACTGACCGTTCAATTCGGTCATCTGTCTCTTTGGCATGGCGCTTGGATTGTCTGCTTGTTGGCAAACGTTCGCAATCACTGTGCGCTGCAACCGTGCATGGTCAGCTACTTCAGTCACCTTGCTTGCGTGCAACAGTCTTACCCCGCCTACCTCCGGGTGGGTAGGTGAGACTTCCGTAGTGCAGGTATGCAGCTGTCGATCTGTACAGTCTTAGTGGTTAGTTTCTCTTTAGCCTTGGAGCTGCGCTTCTCGCGCGCACGTGAATGAGGTCCCCCGGCCACCGAGGGCCATGCTCCCCGTTTCGAGGGCGTTGGAGGGACGTGAAGATGCGGTTAGAGCTCATTAAAGCCCATGTAATACGAGCATGAAATTGAAATGTGAGGAAACCTGAGGCCACAGCACGTGCACGCTGGAAAACTCCCTGGAAACTCTCTGATTCTCTTTCTCTTTGCTTTGCTCTGGGGTATGAGCCGAGGGCAGTCCCCCCGACCCGCACTGTTGCGCAATCCCATCCATCATTTGGACAGATGGGCTCGGCCGTACTGTTGGTTTTCGGGACATGGGCGAGTGCCCCTCCTAGAGGAAAAGCAGCTAGAGTAAACACATGCCCACGGTAAACTGTTGTCACTCATGGGCACACCTCATGTTGTGGTTTCGAGAAATTTGCGTCTCTCGCTCTCTCGCTGTGCTCCTCTGGCATAGGAGCCAACTCAACCGCCTGAGAACCGGCGGTCCCTTGCTGCGCATTCTCCACAACTCGCACAAAGTTTGTTCTACCATGCGTTCGGGGGCGGCAACGTCCAACCGTCCGCCTTTGATCACCCAGCCTATCTGGAACATCTTGGAACCGCCTCTGCACTTCTCTATCTCTCCGCCTCTCGTGTGTGGCTGTAGCCATGTTGTCAGCAAGACAAAACACACGAGCTGGCTTGTTTGACGTCCTGGGCGATTGAAGCCGTGCCCAAGGGCTTGTCGTCAAAGTTTCTCAGGAGCTCAGAGAGTCCTTTGTTACAAAGCGCCGGCTGCTCAGCTAAGCTACGTGCTATGAGCTTCAGTCAAGTGACCACCTCCTCCGCAGAGCTCCTGGCGACAAGAGGAAGAAAGCCTAGCCAGCAAATTCAGGACCCTCAAGGGCACCTTGGAAACAATGTCACGTATCTCTGTCGCATCCACAGGAGGCAAACTGTCCTGAATCAAGTGCTAGGGTGTGTTAGCAGCCTGGCCACCCACGCACACCAATCAATAGCTGAGTCCTGCAGAACTCGCAAACGATCCGTGTACCTGACAGCATCAGTGGCAGCCTTCAGCACGAGGACAACATGATGACCCCTTGCTTCCAGGTAACGGCTTGGAGAAAAGATCGACGCGCGTGGAGAGTACCTGTCAGCTGACGGGTCAAAGAGAAACATGGGCATTGTCTTGATAATTGTAAACATCTGTAAACACAAACCGAAACACCTGGATACATCGGGTTGGTGCAGTCTACCTTAATGTTGTTTCCTGGTCTTCTTCTGTGGAGTTCTTGATTGGCAAATACCAGTAACCGTGTGAGTCTCCCTTGTGACTCGGCACGGTAGCAAGGAATCGACGAACAGCATCGCACGAGTCGGACGGAAGGACTTCGGATGCGATCCCCTGAGGATCGAAGTTTCACATGGATTTTCACGAGATTCTTGCCATTCTGGTCTTTAACAAGCTCCTACTTAGCCACCTCGTGTGCTGTGGCGACACTTTGACAGCCGAACATGCTCTTTTCGGATATAGATATTAAGTTCCTGCCTATCTCCCACAGTGCCAAGCTCATGGGGAGATCTTTTCCCAACCGCTAAAGACTGGATGCTCGACCCGGCAAGGTGGCTGCCATAGTAGAACCCCTTCACCTAAGCATAGGCAGGACGCTCCTCCCTGCCAGGGGGCTTTCGGCAGCAGTATGTGAAGCCAATCCATGTCAGTGGTGACAAAGAATACCGGGCAAACCGTGCGTGATGGAATGACGCAAAACGCGACCCGATCTGTGGAAGGAAGTCAGCCAAGCAACAAGGAAACCACTGTGGGCTGAGTCACACCCGAGGCCCTCGACATAGTACCGCCAGCTCGTTAGCTCAGGCCAAAGGGCGGGCAAGCATCAAGGCGATCCGGCTGACACTGAAGCCGCCCAACAGCCGGCACTCCACGCCCGTCTCGGAAGGAAACCAAACCAGATCCTCACAGAGATGGCAAAGACCTGCCGGTCCGAAGGGAATCCCAAACCAGCCCGAGCAGGAGAGCTGATCTGCGCAAGACATGCAAGGACGCGACTGGCGAGTCGCCGCTTGCGGTTCCTGATACTGCTCGGTCACCCAACCTGAACACCCGATGGGCTAAATCAGCACCAGGCAGCAAAAAGCTGCCTGGATGTGGTGTAATAAGAGGAACACTCCAGCCAGCAGCCGGCAGATTCAGGGTGCAGGCAACCAGGCATCAACGGTTGCTTGGTTAAGAGAAAGGCTTTGATGATCATGGTGGTGGTGATGCCGGTGATGCCGATGGGTGATGGGCAATGGGCGCTGATACCAACAAGATCAGTAGATAAGCTGGTGATCGTAAGCCGTGCTACGGTTCATCGACCAAGGAGGGAAGCTCGGCTCGTCTCTGACCAAAGCTTTCGACCTTTCGCAGTCCAGCCAATGCGTCATCGAGTTCGTGTGATTCCTTGCTTAGGGCTATCTATTGATTGCCCCGGTGACGCATCGAGGTCTTGGGCCTGTGGTCCCAGCCAACGCCCACATGCCTGTCCCTGCCTGTTGCCGTCACCGTCGGCTTGTCATGAGTCACGTCATGAGGGGAGTTTGGTTTCAGAGACACACGACGACCCACGAGCATGCTTTGCAAACATCAGATCAGGCCTGCCCAGTCTTCACGTAGAAGCCACCAAGATCCAGCAGTGTCTCTTGAAGCCTCAACATGTCACAACCAAACCCATCTGTGCATCTACATTCAAGTTTCATGCACTGGAAACCAAGGATGTGTCTTCTTGGAACCCCAATCATCCATTTCCTGGGTCAGCTCTTCGCCAGTTTTCTCCTCCAAGCCTTACCGAAGACAACACTTGCTCAGACTTTGTTTTCCATGGTGCACACTTGCCTATGCTGTGTAACCATGGACGGACGACGTACTGGCCCAACCTTTGCCCACTAGCAACGCAAACACATCAACCGCTCCATCGGCACAGAACTCAGGTGCAACACTGGAAGGATCGTTGAATAAAACCTGTCAAGATATGAAAGGAACGAGACATCTACTGACACAATGAACACACCCAGGCAGGTCAGCCTCAACGACCTGGACAATCTCCTTGGCTCCAAGTGTTCTATACGTCAAGCATCTGCAAGAACGTGTTCGTGTCGGATTTCCTCCAGCATCCACTCTCGCAAACCCAGCTGCTTGTAAGGTTCTAAATTTTATAGTTGTAGTAAATGCTTGTGGATGCTGACCCGAGCTGCGCAACATGTCTTCAACATCCTTCAACGTTATTTTGGCCAAAATTTTGCTTCCGACGTCTCTCTGTTTCACGTGCAGGATTTCTCAAGTTGCGGCGCACCCCTTGTTGTTGTTGGCGCTGCATCAAAGATTTGAGGATGTCCGATGCCATTAAAACCGTGCCTAAAGCGGTGCCATCCGCACACAAAGTGTTTGGGTTGGAGTGGTTCCTTTGCCAGCTCTTCGCCGAACTGGTCCTTACATTGCATTTTTGTCTCAAACTGCTGGTGCCCTGGTCCGTCATTTTCGGAAACCCAACACATTTGGGTAATCTCATCACTGGTCATGCCGATATGCTGCTGCTGCTCTCAAACTTAGGGCACTCATTTTAGCACACGTCTCCCACGTGATCCGCGACATCAGCTTTGGGATCCAACTGCGAGCGCCAGACCCAGCTGTAGATGTTTTCAAACACTGCAAATCCCAGGGTCTCGGGCATGTTCGCAGATGTCGTGAACATCTGTGACCGCACCTCGTGCTGCTGAACATATCTGAACATATCTGAACATCAAACATCCTGCTGCACATGTTGTATAAACAGGCAAAGGCGCCAAATAGCAGGGTTTTGGGTTGCTTTGTGTAACATGGTCGTACCACCCGCCTCCTCCCGCCCGTCACCCCCTCCTCCCACCCTCTCCCGGCTACGACAAATGAAGAAACGCACATGGCCGGATACGCGCATTTGTGGACTGAAGTCTACCCAGCAACCGCTGTTGCCCTGTGCCCTCATGGTCAACAAGGTCAATCAATGGCCATCCCCACAGACAATACAATGAACAACGGTTGAATAAAAACTCCTCATTGCCGATGGCACCGTGCACAGCAAAGTTGTATACACGGCTTCTGGCAGACTCTTGATCCTGCAGCCACCCAAGGCACTCTACGACATCCGCGTCCAATTCGCGCCTCTTTGTAATAGGGTTTGCCTGCACGCACACACACACACATGCATCAGGTCTGTTGATCTGGAATGTCGCCGGTGATGTGGCTCTGATGCTATGGTGTACATTGCTTTCTTTTCTTTGGCAATGGACACTGACATGTCAGTGTCCAAGTCTCGAATCGCATGTGGGACTGACATGCATTCAATGTAAATATAAAAGCCAAATAACAGCTTAAACCTGATACCTTGATAGCTCACTGACATCACAACTAGACGTGGCACAAACAGCTTGAAATTCCAAGCTGCGACGTCTCAGTCGCCCACGCCAATCTCTTTTGCTGATACAGCAAACTGCGTCCAGTTTCGTTTCCAGCCCTGTTCCATAGCTTCGTGGGCATGGCCAAGAACAAAACAGCCATGACCCCTGCTGCGATTCACATGATGCAGCTACTTAGCCCTTTGGCACAGGGATGGCACACACACACACACAGGCCCCCTTCACACTGGAAGGAGGCGAAATTTCTGAAAAGAAAACCTTCCTTACACCTGCAAACGAACGCTGCAGTACACTTGCAGCTTAACAGCGCTTCCCCAATAACCTTCATGGATGGGGTCCGGGTCGCGCTGACGTCTGAGGCTGATACCCAAGCGTCCGGCAGCGGTCAAATGCATGCTATCACTCATGTTTTTACTGCAACGTCGTTTGCGCCAGACATCTTGCGATTGCAAAGCTCGAACTTGTCGTTGCGTGCCAGCAATGTCACGATTTGTCACTTCGACACACGGCTCCAAGCAGCCTACAAAATTTCCGTTTGCTTTTTTTGTGGACTACGGGCTCATTTTCTTGTTCATCTTCCTCTGATTTAGAAGCAGAGTTGTCGACCCTCGTTCTTCCTGGCGAATTCCAAGAAGAGCTTGTGCAATTTGCTGACGACGATCTTCATTTGTCTGTGGATCATGTTGTTGACTCGGCAAAGGAGACCGGCTGTCCATGTTCGAAGATGGTCGGTAACGCTACAGCTGTAAGCACTTGTAGCCTTCAACCAGTACGCATTCAGACATCAACTGTACGCAGCACGACACGTTGCAACTGCAACGCTGAATCTGCGCTTGTTTTGGCTTCAGCTCACTCAAACGGCTGCACGTCAGGAATGATGAGAATGGCGTTGTTTGTTGGGTTTGCCCTTTCAGAACAGCAAGGTCCGAGAGCAGGCTGGATAACACTTCCTGCGTTTTCCCTCGCTTCTCAAACAACTCCGCATAGCTTTCATTACTTCTTTCAGTCTTTGATAGTTCTCCCTCAACTGCACCTGAATGACTTCGAGTTGTCTTTGCTGCAACCGTCGAACAAAACCTTGATCTTCACGAGCTGCTCGTAAGTCCTCTTCGATTCGCAGCATTTCAGCTTGCGTATAGCGAGCTAGAGCATCACACGCAGTGTTCAGACAGCTCTATACGACATTGCCCTGCACTTCCCCAGATCCCCTGCCTGGGTGGGATCGCGCTGCTCTCTGAGGCCGAAACCAGCACAGTGCATGCACTCGAATCCCGACATGGAGGGGCCGCTGTCTCGGCTAATTACTCTAACAACTGCATGGCACATGAAGCACAGCCTTTCAGCAAGACTGACCTGACCAGGATCAAAGCGAGCGAATCTGTTGGAGAGTGGCGCAAAACTTCTTCTGGTTAGGGCGGTGAGACGACTTTCCAGGTTATAGACTTGAACAAGTTCAGCAGCAATCGAGCACGACCTTGAAGACAAAGCTTCTGACAATGACTGCAAGAAGCTTGCTTGCAGCAGAAGAGCAAAGACGAATGCCATGACCGTCGGAGTTGAATTTTGGCCTGCAAAAGCCGTTTCGGCTCAGACCTCTCTGAAGACGCTGACGAAGGCAAGGGCTGAGTTTTAGGGCGAACTGGAATGTTGTCCACCCTTTGCAAACGATTGATGATACAATTGTAGACAACAACATCATCCTGAAGTGCTTGACTTGTCTTCGACGAGGCCGACGTAGTTGAGTTGAGTTTGACGAGCCTCGTGTTGACGTGGCGGTAAACCGTCACCGATTGATCAACGACCTTCCCGAGGATCTTCTTCGAAGACATGGCGATCATACATCTATGCTCTTGACCCGGAACAGCTTGGGTTACTCGTTCAGCCCTTCCCCGACTCCCCTACGTGGAGGGGTCGTGCTGGCCACGTGATTGACAATGCAGCACAATGCAGAATGTCTGAGCACTGTTGCACACACCATCTCCATGACAGCAGCAAAACAAACGGCTATGCACATCAACACTACGAAAACGACCGCTCTGCCGGCTAACAGTTTCCCTCTAGGTGAACCGATCTTGAGCTGCTCCGGCTTGACCTACGGTGTGTCCCTGTTGTCTTGAGGCTTCTTTAAGTTTCGAAGATGACGCCAGTGCTGATGCAGGCATCGCTTTAACTTCAACGGTAGCAGGTGGCGGAGGTGGCGGTGGCAAACGGGGGAGGTGGAGGTGGCGCCACAGTCCGGAGTAAGTCCCCAGCCCCGTATGTTGAGGATTGGGTCCTGACCTCTTGTCACTGTCGGGGTCGGGGTCCAGCCCCGTACGTTGAGGCCAGGACCAGGCCTGGGTCGTGGCCGGTCGTCGTCAGGGTAGGGTGTGGAATTCAGCCTACTTCACAACAGAGCACAACGGCGGGAGGATGTTTCAGCACGGCTCCTGGTTGGGCCCAACTGGTCTCAAGGCTGAACGTCTGCGATGCACTTCAGAGGAGCGAAGCAAATGGAACCAGCCTAGCAACTAATCGATCAGCATCGTGGTTGTGCTGTGTCGAGCACTGCAAATTTTCGGGTGAACAGATCAGGGTCGGTGCTAGGGGACCGATCAAAGCTCAAGTTGATGGAACCGATCAGGGTTCGGAACCGTACAGGCCTCAACGCAGTACGTAGTCACTCCTACCGTAGACGGCACGTTGAACGAACAACCGTCTGGATACACACTTGCACAACCCTCCCTCTGGTTCGATCTTGTTTCCTATTTCCTACTGTCAGAGTTTCCACATGGGCAGCTAAGAAAGAAGAAGAACACTGTCATCCGGGTTCTTGGCCTAATTAGCCTGGTTGCCACAGCACTTAACAGTAACAGGTTTTGGCTTGGCCTGGTAGCCATGTCACTCTAAAGCAGGTACGTCAGGGTGATCAGCGCTGATATCTGCGTCTGCTGCCGCTGCTTCGTTGGACCATCGCACACAGCAAACGAATGGTCCCCTGCTGCAAAACAGCGCAATACAGTTGCTTCCCTTGGTGATACGAGTAGGGCTCCCTACACTTGCGCAAATCTCCAATCTGAGTATGGGCCCTTTTGCCTTCTGCATGCATCAAAGGAGCTCTGAACCTTGCACTCTCACTCACTTGCTTGGCCGTATGTACAAGCAGGTACACACTTGAGCGTCCTCAAGTGCTTCCACTGATTTGCCGTAGCTTCGTTGGACAGGCTAGGCAAATCAGTTCCTGTCCCCCTGCTGAAATATACCGGCTTTCCTGATAATTACTTAGAGCCCTTGGCTCACAGGATGTACACACACACGAATTGTCTTCCAAAACTGCTACGCTGCTGCACACGCATCTGACACGTCTACCGGAATCAAGCCCAACTTGTGCAGCCTGGCATCTGAAGCGGTGACAATGCTGTGGTGTCCTGGAGGTCCAAATACTCTAAGAAACGACTGAAAATCTATACCGCCTGCCATCGGCAGAACGTCCGTAGCAGCTTGGATGTGTCTTGTTCGACGGTATTGTCGGTGAGCACGGCGAACAGGAAACAAAAGCAACCTGACTCGACCAACGCTTATCCCATCATCCATTTTCCATGCGAAAAACATAAGAGCTGTTCTGACAACTCAAAGTGTGGCTAGTCCCAGATTTCAGCCTGGTCACCCGGCAGAACACTGCACCAAACCGAGAAACGAAGCTGAGTTGTTCTTTGCCTTGGTTACAATCCCTGTCTCGCAGGTTGGCTGCAGAAGTGCGCACCGCATTCGGGAACGCAATCTGAAGAGCCAGCAACTCTCGCGGTGATGCCCGACGTTGACTCCGTTAAGGTCCTGCGACGGTGTTCCAAGCCGGAAAGTCGAAGTGTTTCTCTCGCGCCTCCATGGCTGCACTCGGCAGGAGATCAGCCCTCTTGTGGGCGAAGATGCAGCTTCTAGGGCCATGGCATCAGTTGCACCCTTGTAACAAAGCGAATCGACACCCCGACGAGGAATGACGCCACGACTCTCAGTACTAAGCCAAGCACTCATGGATCTCTGTTTATGCCCGTCATGTCATTGCATGCATAGCCTTTCCATCGCGAGATATCCAGGAGTTGCCGCAAAGACCAGCACATGCGCGTATTCATCACAAGCTGCGCCAGTCAAGCCGCAAGAAGAAGCACACGACACGCTTCTGCAGACAAACTCATATTAGCCACGAGCATCGGCTCGGATGACGGTGAAACAATGGCACGAAGGAGTCAACTGCAGGATGCAATCTGGCGCAGCTCCTTTGAGCAGGCAAAAGAAACATTAAATCTCACTGTACTGTGCATGACCTCGGCGACAATTGCTCGTCTCGTTTCCGATGCAGGGAGCCGATGACAGCAACTGAGAAGCTGTGACAGCGGCTTTCCAGTCTTTTTTTTCTGCTTTCCACCTGTCACAAGAGTTCGACCACACCACGCCTAGAACCGGAAGACGACAGAGCCGCTGCAAACAAATGAAGCACGGCTACTAACCTGCTTCAACTCGGCCCGGCCTTCAGTAGAAGCAGTTGCAGCTGTCGAAGTTTCGGCAACCTCGGACCCAGCAGACGTCGGGAAGTCCCAAGCAAACGGAAAACACATTCGCCCCATACCTGGGTGAGTTCTTGTGCTTTCCACAAGCCACACGCAAGCACTCACAATGGTTTGAGCTGAAGGCGGGTGCAGGCTGCACCTGCCACAGGCAAGGTTTGCAAGTCCAGCCCTACGACGAAGACCTGAAGGCCCTGTACATAGAAGCCGCGTCACCTCTACGCACACAATTTTCATGAGATCAAACCTATACGAGCCCATTAGGCAAAAATGTCGGCCCAGAAGACCGACAGAGGGGAGTTCTAGAAGGCATGCCGCAGCCTGGCCGGAGCCCTCGGGCGGCACTGCAACAAAGGTGTGAGCACAACATGCATGCTCGAGTTTCGGCAGTTCGAAGCACTCCACTAGAAAACGAGTTCTTAAAAGATTTTAACATTGAGCCCACAGACCCCCTGGCTCTTGCTCTCGGGTGCGCTTGCAAAGCGTTGCAAGCAGCATGGCGGCAGGCGCGCATGAGTCCGAAGGGTTTCGCCATGCAAGCTTCCACTGATCGAGTGTGCAAACATGCTTAGAATGGCTTAGAATGACACGCAGAACAGCGCATGGCGCCCCTCGCCTTCGGCTTCGCTTTTGGCTGCGCCTTGGCAGCGGCCTGTGCTTCCTGCCAAGCTGCCTCCTGCGCTTGCCTGAGTGTCATTCTAGTCTTGAAACTTCTCAAAAGCTGCACGGGAGCGGGATTCACTGGGATTCGCTCACAAAGGCTTCCTCGTCCTGCTGTGCACGAAGCTCCTCGTCAGCACTAGATCACAAGAGATCACACGAAGGGATGTCCGACTCCTCTTGCATCATTTGCCATGCGAGTTGAGCATCCGCGTCCCTGCCCAATTCCCCGCTAATGCTGTCATCAGATCAACACATAGATCGCTCAGGCTTGAGCTCCATCGAGCCAGGAACATAGGCCTGCCCAGAACAAAGAGCAAAGCGATCAGGCTTAAGCTGCTCACAGACTCGTCCGCATTCCATTCGGAGCCTTGCAGGCCTTACAGTACGACGCTGCAACTACGTGCCCCAGCCTCTCCGACAGCGCCGGCTGCCTGAAATTGTTACATCATGTCTACCCTGATTCGCAATTTTGGGGCAATGTCTTTTCAAACTTGGAATGAAACAGTCTGTTGACCAAACAATCGTTGCCAGGCATGTTGATGGTCAGCTCTGGCACCCACTTCGAGACCCATTCCCAGTAGTAGTAGTAGCAATAAGAGTCACAATTCACTAATGATACTGACAAATGACGAAGCTGGTCAGACATGGAAAATCGTACCGCTGCCAGCTTGATAATACGTGGGCTTGTTCGATCTTCTCGCACAAATGCAAAGAAGCACCGTAAGCTCTTGGGCCCAAGGGGCCCTGATCCGACCTGTTGGTTGGGCAAGACTCCGTTGCCAGAACAGCAGCCTGATAAACACAACCCTGTGCAATGCTAGAGCTGTCTCCTGCGCCCCGATCCGGTACACTCAAATGCACGCATTTTGTACTCAGTCACTTGGCTTGTCCTGAGATCTAGTGTTCAGCTTCTTTGGTGCTCCTCTGACCGTGGTGGAATGTGTATCTTCCTTCGGAATTTGACAACAAAACCTTTCGAACCGAATTGCTCTATGCTTTGTTCGAGTTTGCTGCGTCGCAGGTTGATGACGCCGTGTTTAACAGTGGAGACTCCCAAGATCATGACGGTTCTAGCCCCATTCAGGAAGCCTTCATGTCGGACAGTTAGACCGATCTTCATGATTGCAGCAAACTCTGCGCAATCTTCCGAAGACCACTTGGAAATAAGGGTACAGCATTGGTTGCAGTAAGACATGTATTGACCAATACCCAGGCTTTGACAATGGTTTGCGATTGCAAATATGTGAGGGGATGCGATTTTCCTGGGCATGCGCCTTCTCAAACTTCGCTTAATTGTGATATCCTTAGTGAGATCTTCGTGGTTGGACCCGTTAGACCTCATCCCCAAAGGACCTTTGGTGCAAGGCCTTCCGATCCTAGCGAGTGGTCCCTAAGCGAGGATGTCTGCGAACCAGTCCTTGATGCTCACAGGGATAGTCTACTGGATCGAAGCCAATGATGCTGAACAAGGCTTGCAGACTTGCAGGATCGCCACAGAAATGCTGAACCTCATTAGCGGTAGGCAGGTTCCTTCTAGCCGGGACGGTTTACTCGCATTCCGTAAGACCTGGGTTTACAGATCGCAAGTAAAAGTCGACTCATTGGCTTGTGCGCTCGCCAAAGCTAAGAAACTGCGTCGAGAACTGCTCTTCAAGGCTGCCAGGTGGTTTCTGCAGATGAGAACCCCGCTTCCCAGCGCGAACACTTACAAGGCGGGGTCACGCCCCAAGTGCCCTTTGTCCCAGACTGGCACTCGATTTCGTATCGCGGTACGGATTCCAGCCGGGCTGGCTGTCTGCCGAGACTTCTCCACGCTTTTGGGTTGCTTAATCAATGTGTTTCTATGGTTCCGTTTCATCAGATTTTCTGCCATTGTCACGCGAATAGGTTTTTCGCGACCAAAACCTTGCTTCCCAATCAGAAGCCTCGAGCCCACAATAAACCCGACTTCACTAACTTCTGTACCATCCCATCGATTTCACTTGCTGCAGGCGCCAATTAATTAAGCTGTTCAGGATATCTTCTTGAATCTTGCATCGATGCCCGGGAGGCTCAGATCCAGAGTGTCACAAACGTTCTTAGTCACTTGTTGAGCTGACTGTCTTGACGACACACAATGCCATGCTGCACCCAGAAGCCTGCTGTCCAGAGCGAAACTCTGCGTCAACATAGTCAGTATCTCCATCAACCTGTCAGCCGTTGCCCATGCCACGTAGCTTCATACTGCAACATACATGCTCATCAGCTCAACATGCCTTGTCAAACCTCTCCCAAACGACTTCCGAATTGGAAAATGCAATGTCTGTACCTCAAGTCACATCGGTGGCACTGCACTACACTTGTTTTGCAGCATGCTGCTATGCCAACCGGCCCTGCCAAGACTCGGACAAAGCAAGTAAAGCTGACCTGAAGCTCGGACAAAGCAAGTAAAGCTGACCTGAAGCATTACAAGCAAAAGCTGTCATATGTCCGGTCCGTCTAGGCAGGGGGCCATCGAACTTCAGCATCGTGTTGAAATGAGAGTTGCGGAAAAACACCTTACAAGCAATCAACTTTCTCCTACACGGCATCCCTCCTCCTCGTGTGGCGTCTGCGTCTGTCTCGAAATCTTCACCAGCTACTAGCCATCACCGCGTGTCCGAGGAGATGAGGTGCAGGAAGAGGGCAAGTAGGAGGCAAGGTGTCTAAATTGACAGAGTATGACAACCCTGAGAATATCCACCGCCTTTTCGCAGCTTGGCAGAAAAAGCACTTCTCGCATACACCGGTCTGCACCGCTTCGAGATGTTGCAATTAAGCACTGAAGCTGGGAAGATGTTGAGACCGCTTTCATGGGCCATGTCTGATTGCTTGTTGCAAAGAGTTTGGAACTGAGCAAGACTTGTGTTTAGAGGGCGGAAGGCCAGCCCGTTCGACCCGAAGATCCGCAGGTGATACACAGTCTGAAACATCACCTGGCTTCCGCGTTTTGCAGGTCGACCCAGCGACACATGACACAAAACCTTTATGGTACCTGGTGCACGGCTCCATGTGGTACCTGGCAGCCCGAGTGTCAGCGAAGTCGTCGCATGTCGGCTGTCCGTCAGTCTCTGCAAGTCTTTGCAGGCACTAAATTTGCCCTTTGCACGGGGCAGGGAGGCTTATGTAGGATTTGATGGCAAAAAGCGCGAACACTCCAGCGACAAGGCCATTTCACGACTTCAAAGGAATAGATGAATAGCTCTGCTCTTAATATTGACACCCTGGCTACAGCGCAAGCAGGCCACGGCGAGTTGTCGTTCCCGAACAGCTTGCTGTAGAGCCTCAGCAAAGTTGAACCGGATCGAACAGCATGCAGAAGGTTGCCGGCTCGATGCAGCGAGGGCATCTGCAGAAGACCCAAGAGAGAAAACGCCGAAGATACCCGGGGTCACTCAAGATCGTGCGTTTTATTCACGCTCTCACTGCCTCCGATGCAGCCGAGGCCCTGTACATATCTGTACATCTGTCCCTGTACAACTCAGGGAGCTGCTCTGTCCCGAGATGCCGCTCAGTGAATTTGATCACCCTGCCACCAGCAGCGGCGGCAGTCACACCGCGCCGCACATGCGGGAAAAACGCAAATGGTGATCCTTTCCTGGTGGGCTGAGGTGGCATCTTTGTCATGTGTTGCCTTTCCGAATGGTGAAACGCTATAGATTTTTCCAAAACCTTGGACCAAAAGCAAGAAGAGGCACGCCTGTTTGCCGTACAAGTTCCCTACAATTGCAGCCACGAAACTCGATCCAGGACATCTGACTGCAAGCCTCGAGCGGTACTGATCAATCGACCCGATGTTCTCGAGCTCTGCGAAAGTCAACCGAATCGTTTACTGAGCTCAATAATAAGAATGGGTTTCGTACACGCCTCCAAAACTCCAGAAGTAATCACATGACACTCTTGACGCACTCACAATCCGACTATGCAAACGCTTACGAAGCAACAAGCTCACTCCAATCTGCAGGTACTCGCTTTGCAACTTTACGACTTGTGCTTGCGCGAGGTGAAATCGAAATATATGTTGATCGTGTCTGAGGCCTTGTTGAGGCAGTCCTTGCAGCCATCGACCATTCACCAAGTCTGGATCTGGCCACACCGACGGGCCTCGACCTGACCTGCAGTTGCCATGACGGATGAACCAGACTGGTCATGGGTGCAAATTTGAGATCACAGAGCATTGCTCAAGACTACATGATGGTACCCCTACCAAAAATCAGAACCCGAACTCAGAAAGGGTGGTCCGCCCCACCCGAGCTGTTAATCTCGACAAGGTCAATAGCCATTGGATGGCAGCATGATTCAGCACACCCGATCCGATCTCGGACATGTTCTCCCTGGAGACTGTCAGTATGAAGTCGAGTTTCGTCGTCGTCGTAGTAGTAGTA